AAAATGAAGATTTCACTTTTCATATGAGTGTGTCTTTCAATTTGCCTATTCTATGGCCAGAATAACTACCAGGAGAGGGGATCGGGAGGAACAGATACGTTTTTGACAAGACTATGGAGAACATTGTTTGTAAAAATTATTGAGAAAAGGTAAGTAAAAGGATACTTTGAGCATACCTGTAAATTAAGCACCACCTGGGTACTTCCCTTCCTTCTCCCGAGAAATTTACTCCAACAACTAATGCATTATAGGTGTCCCCTTCTCTACTGCCTTTTATTTACAGATATTCTCTACTTTCTCTCTAAATGTCAAGAGCAGTCATCTTCCCCCTCTCATTCGCTTCTAAAAGCCGTGGTCTCTCATTGCTTTCTAGCTTCTGAATCTTCTTTTCAGCTCACAGTGTCCTGGCAGAAAGCATCTATTACCTCCAATTATAAAACACAAGGAATACTTTTCCATCCTTCTCTCGACTTTCTAATTTTTTTTTATACTATTGACAAATTCCTTTCCTATGAAAATGTCTGCCTCTTGACATCCATCATACCCTTCTTCCTGTTTTTCCTTTAACCCTCTTAACTTGACAGTCTCAAAGACTCCTTTTCTTTTACCTTAAACACTGGTGTACCTCAGGGATCCACTCTTTGTAAATTGCACTTCCCACTCTCTATCCTCTCCATGGAATGACTTCATCTCTCCTCTAGCTTTAACAAGCGCCCATTTATTTGCTAATCAACAGTTCATATTCACATAAATGCAGCATAGACATCTACCACTGAAACAGAACCCGCTCTCCGTGTTCTCGATAACCACCACCAAACTCCTGTTCCTCTTCCCCCAACTTCCACCTCAGCATCACATCCACTTTCCTGCCCCAGCTGTAAAGCCACGGTCATCCTCTTCCCTCATCTGCTACATCCAACCTTTCACTAAATTCACCAGAACTTAACTCCTAAGGTCACGCTCTTCTTTCCACTCCTTCTAGTGATCCTGACTCAGGTCCCGAGAGCCTGGCCTTGGGCTTTGCATGGACTTTCTGAAATGCTCTCTGCCCCTAATCTACTTGGACACCTTCAAATCTGTCGTCAACACAGTCACACGTGTGGCCAATATATAAAGCAAAATATGAACTCTTCTTGAAGCAGGAGTTCTTAAACTGCATTCTACAAGTCCCATTTAGTCCAGTGATAGAGATCAGGGGTTCCATGAACTTGAGTGAGAAAAAACAGCATCTTTGTTTTCACTAGTTTTTAACTAAATATTAGCATTTCCCTTGGTGATGAAAGGAAGCACAGACTACAGTAGTATTAACAGTGTTCTCAATTTTGTCACCAGTAGAAGTGAGATGTTTGCACATGACATTACAGATACCTCAAAATACTAATGACCATACTCACCACTTTGTATTAGTGTAAATGGTGTTAGGTATTGTGGTAAAAAAAAA